GAATTTATGAAACAAACCACAGCAGTATGTGCAATACCCCTGACTGTGTATTGCACGTACAACAGAAATCATGAATATCATATATCATGTCTCAGTGTGGAGCTATTATGAAGTACTGTGTATGCCCACCACTAGTTCAAAGATATTCCTGGACCTACCTACCACTGGCTCTTGTTATATAGTGAAAATCTTGTTAGTATATCACCTTTAAATAATTGCATAACTGTATTTCAATAAAGTTGATTTTTGTTGGAATCCTTTGTGTTTTACTTTGTGCATCTAAAAATAGTTTTCTGAATGGGGGGTCTGTAGACTTCACTACATTGCAGAGTCCATGGCACAGAAAGACTTATGGACTTTTGTCTTGTGCAAAATTGAATCAATTAGGCAAAGCCACTGACAAGTGTTCCTCCAGGGTGTGTGAGTCTGTGTGTGTGTGTGTGTGTGTGTGTGTGTGTGTGTGATGTCAATACACAGCCACAGACCAATTTGGGCCACTGAAATGAACCCAGTCAATTTCCAAGAATTGTTTTCCACTTGCAGAGGTCTAGATGCAATGATGCTGTGTATAAACAATGACGTTTAAAATGAGGTTTGTAAGATGCATTTTTAAATATGTCAAATATTATGATATATGCCAAATTTATAACCTACTCAAGGGGCGTGGCTTAACTTAAAACTAGGAGTCTCCCTAAGGCCCCCATGGGCTGTGGAATGCCTGGCTTACAGCGAGAAAGGTGAGGAACAGGATTTTATTTCCTTCACAACAACTTCTGAGTTACTGGTGACCCCCTAAAAATGAGTACCCTGCGCCATGAGCAACTGGAGGAGTGATGAGGCCAAACTGAGTCTGTGAGGGATGGACAGTCACCAGATAGACACTTACAAGGTAAGAGATACCTCAAAACACCAGGCAGGTCCAGCTGAGCATAAAGCCATCTTGCAACTTTGTGAGCGAGGGGAGACCTGCCTCTTATCTTCATTCCCCTCCCTGGACCAGCCCGCCCCTGATGCCTGAGGGGGTTTGGAATCAGAAACCACTCCTGGGTGGGGAGGGAGTGATGGGAATAATGAAAACCACACTCCTTTCTTGGCTTCCTGTTTGCAACCCAGCTGGGAGTGGTGACAAAATTCAACTTTAAATCAAGTTTAGAGTTTTGCATATTAAATGCATCTGGACATTCTAATTGCTGAACCAAGCAAGATTCTATTTGGTGACTTAAGGAACTGTAGGACTGCTAGAGTTCCTAGATGTAGGACTGCATCTCACAGGAAGAGCAAGAAATTTCCTTATTGATTTTTAAAGGGAAAATAGGATGCAAAATTAAATGGTGCTATGGTTATACCCCATGAGTCTCTAGGTTCAGTATACAGTTTACACTGATTATCGTCTCTTTGCTTAGGATCATAAAACATCTACTCCAGCCAATTTTGCCTTAGTAACAGACCCCAAAGTCAAGTCCTGCCTTTTAGGTTGTTCTTGTCTGGAAAGCCTTTTCATTTCATTCCAGGGCACCTTAACCCTCACCTGCCCAGCTGGTCCGGCTCAAATCCATTGTTTCAGCGATACTTTATTTAACTGCACATTCCGCATTGTTTCCTCCAAATTCCCATCACCCTTTACAGAACCATTTATGTAACTTACTGTCACCATAGTCTGTTTCCACATAATTTTGCACCTTCATATCTGTGTTTATCAGTGGACTGAGGGCTCCCATGAAGACGCATATCCCTGAGCTGTACATATATTAGCTACATAATTAAGTTTCATTTTAATGCATTCCACAGATAACCTTATATATGAGTGTCATTCTGTAAAGCAATTATTTGTCACTTAAAAAGGTTAATACATAAGGCTTTTTTCTTCTTTATGTATTGGCCTTCCAATACTTCCAGAATGGTTTTCAGTCTTTTCCTAAAGTTAACAATAAATCCCATTATTCTTGATTTCTTTTTTTTTTTTAAGTGTGGACCAGCTCTGGTCTTAGGAAATTTGGAAGCTCGAGTTTTATCATTGCAAGTGTGAATGCTAAAAACTTATGCCTGATCAAACCTGTATATGTAGAACATAAATATGGGAACATTAACTGTTTATATGTAAGTATTCTAGGAGTGCGCTTTAAAGAGATTTCTGGGTTTTATTTAAAATACATGAAAGGCTGGAGGCAGCCTAAAGACGTCTCAAGGGTCCTGTGTATTTTGGAGGGGAATGTCAAGAATGCGGGCTTCCCAGCTTGTAAAACAATAACTTCTTTGACTGGATGTTCACTGGGGCTCTGGCTGGTATTTGCTGTTTTTAAATCCAAAGGTAAATTTAACTTAGGGAAGAGATAGTTCTGTTTGTCAGTTTCAAAAGTGTTTTGTTGTGTTCTTTTATTTTTAACCACTCAGTCTTTTGAAATTTGAACTCTATCCTTGTTTACCACTGGAGTTTTTGCTTCAGATGTTAGAGGTGTGTAACGTAGCCCATTCTCTATCCCCCCAAAGCAGGAAACAGAAGAGACCTTATGGAAAATACTGTTGGTAAAACTAGTCCTAATGATGCTATTTGAGGACGATTGTGCTTCTCAAAACATGCCACTAATGGGTACACGCTTGATGTCGCAATACAAGTAGCTGCCACCAGGAAAACATTCCCTTGCCATTCGATCACGCATCTACCCAAACAGTGTTTCCTTCTTGAACTCACACAAGGAATATGCCCATGGTTTTGTACCTTTCTCAAGTGCTTACCAATGAACACCAATACTCGCCATCCTTTTGACATTCTCCCCATTTCCGTACATGTTCAGCAAATCTTTCAATATTTAGGTTAATTCTCCTCTGAGTCATAGCTCTAAAGCATTGAAAAGCATCTGGGAGTTCCTGGTATTTGCCATATAGGTTGATTCTAATGTTATATATCTAACTATACCCACTGTCCCTTCCAATTTATAAAATTTATCTGTTTATAGTTCTTTCTTACTCGGCTATGGTGAATTTAAAAATTACAAAAAGAAAAAAACAACCACCTATTTTTGAGTCTACAGAAAGGCAGAATTGAAAGTTAAACCCGAAATTTAGTGCTATTCATAAACTATTTTCAAATGATGCATTGACTAACAAAGGAATAAAAATCAGACATGTGAAATAACCATGACTTTTTGGTTTACTAGGAGACTAAGAATCATCTGAAGACTGGATGTGGCTTTAAGGTCATGGGTTGGGCAAACTACAGCCCACAGGCTAAATAAGCCCACCACCTGTTTTTATGGTTGAGCTAAGAATATTGTCTACATTTTGAAATGGTTGAACAAAGTCAAAAGAAAGATTGCACTTCATGCACTGCAAGAAATATATAAAATTAAACTCTTAGTGTCCATAAATAAAGCTTCTTGGACACATCCCTGCTCAGTCATTTATATATTGTCTATATTTACACATTGTCTATGTTCATTGATGTGCATACTGTCTATGGCTGGTTCCTGCCACAGCCGCAGAATTGAATTGTTGCAATAGAGACCTTGCAGCCAGCAAAGCCAAAGATACTTACTCTCTGGTCCTTTACCAGAAAAGTTTAAGGTTGGGTCTGCTTTCTGGAACATTTCCACTGATGCCACACAGTACGCAGCCCATGGATCATTGGGCTGTGATTAGCCATGATCGCCGTAGATCAAAATTTTGAAATCTCACCTGTTATTCTTATAGGAATAATGACTTTAGCAGCAGCTCTCACACAATAGATGGTGGTTTCTCCTATTTATTTTATGTAGTTTCCCTTCGACCAACTTTTTTTTTCAAAACAGATAGGCAAAACTATGCAAATATCCTTGTGTGTGGAAAGCAAGCTTGCCATAGATAATCTGTATACTGAGATACTCACTGATACATATTTTGCTCTGAATACATACTACTGTCTGATATGCTACATACCAAAATTTAAAAAAACACATAAACTTGCATTTTAGAGTTTTAGCCTTTATTTCACTTAATTTCTCCCTTCAAAAAAGGCCTCACAAACAAGTCTCTGAAAAATTTCCCAAATGTGTGCTACTGAAATTTCAGGAAGAGCTTCGCTGTGGAGCTAGAACAGATACAAACTATTAAGCATTTAATCAACTGTAAGAAAATAAACAAAAACTTAAAAAAAAAACCAGTTCATTGGCTAGAAAAATCTAGGGGTTAAAATGATGCTAATTGGGATCATATTTTTCTCTTTTCCTGGCTTAGCTTCTCCCTGCTCGCCTCCAAGTGCTGCCTGCATCTCAGACTACAGGTGGTGGGAAGCAGCCCCCAGCGACTCACTACGTATGTTCCCCGCAGTTCGGTTCCAGCAGAGTAAGAGAACATCTATGCCCTGTCCCGCAGCACAACAGCCCAAAGTCACTATGGTTGGAAATTCGAAATGCTTCATGTAACTAAGGAGGATTTGGAGCCGCGGTGTCATGCCCGACCCTCCTCTACATTTGCACCCCAGCCGACCCCCAAGTCCAAGGAATGGAAAGAATGGTTTCCCAAAAACAGTTGCGCGGGGAGGGGTGGGCACTGTCAGAAAAGGGACAAAGCAATGGAAGACCAGCAACAACAACCGTTCAAATTAACTGACTGCTACCACATTCAAAATTTTCAGGTAAATTGCACACGACATTTTCATGTTTTCCGAAGAAAAGAGCTTTCACATCTGTGTGTTGGGTGGGACTGAGAAAAGAGAACATGGTAAGAGGAGCCAAGCAGTGGCGCGTGGCTCCGTTTCACGCAGGCCTACCCCTCAGCCCATGCAAACACAGGGGCAGCCCCGCAAAGCAGTCGACGCTCCTCTTTTCACTGCGGTTTGCCACCTGCCGTCCAGACAGCCTCGGTGGTCCCAGCTCCCTCTTCAGGACAACACCAGGCGACTGAAGTGCCCTGGGAGACCTCCGGAGAGGAAATGGAGGCCCCGTGACTCACCTGCAGCAGGCTGGATCCGGGGGTCTCTCGCAGATGGTGCCTGGGGTCCACCCAGGCCCGGCTGGCGGACTTACCGGCACAATTCGGTCTCCTCCGCTTGCTCCGTGAAGCCCCTTCAAACACCACGGTCCTTTTCTTCTCGAGTTCAACCTGTTCAACGATACAAAACAAAACCTTTTCATTTTGTTGAGCCTTAAGTAACACCTGTGCTCTGGTCTCCTGTCCCAACTCAGTATTTCTGGACCAGTTCCCGCAGCTGTCGCGGGATCCCACACAGGGACACCCATTGAAGAAAAAAAAAAACTTTCAGAATGTAGTGTGTATATTTAAACTTGAAAATCATTTTAGTAGAAAAGGTTTTAAGTAATATACCACAAACAGAACCATTCCTTGTTTTTTTTAATTGTAGTATAGTTGGTATACAGTATTATATTACGTTAGTTTTAGATGCACAGTGTAGTGATTCGATACTGTCACATTTTATAGTGTGACTACCTCACTAATTGTACTAATCAGCCACCATGCAAACTTACCACAATATTATTGACTATATTCCCTTTCACCTGTCTCGCCCATCCCCCACTATCTAGTTTTTAAGGTTAGAAATACCTTGACTCATACACTTGGCCAACTAAAAGAAATCACACATTCTTATTGTGAAAAGATTTGATCATTTTTCCTACAAGAAAAAAGAACACTTGACACTCTGCGTTTTAAACTAATTGCTTAACCCATGTGTCTTCGGACATCCTGTGGTCCAGAATTCAATCGCTCCGAGGGAGTCAGAGTGAAACGATGCTTCCTTTCTGTGTGCCCAGAAAGAAAACGCAACAGTGTTTGCAAACCACTGGGCATTGTCTCTGCTCTAGAGATCGGGGAGGCTCTCTACAAGAGAGAGAAAACAACCAGGCCTGGGAAGATTACATAAGCACATTTCATCCCTGGCTTTGGAATTCTGGTCGCACTTCCAGGAACAAGAATGTGTAGCGTTCTCCTGATTGCAGCTCTAAGACGTGAGAGGATGGTTGTGGCTACATCGTCAGAAGTGTGAGCCGGCAGTAACAGCTCCTTTCCTGGCCCTGCAGTGGGGCCCGTCAGCCGGAGCTCGCGGCAGCAGTGACTGCCGGAAGCTCGTGGCAGTCACTCGATTCTGTCCTAGACCGTCTGCAGCTAGTCGATTCTGCCGCACGGTGGACGCTATGGTGATTCTGTATCAGTTTTGTTGGTGGATAGATAGATAGATACAAGTAGAATCATGCTCAACATGTAATGTTTCTGCTTTTTTCTGCCTGTACCATGTATAGAACATATTTGGAAGCATTTGGTAGATAAATGATAGATTGATGCATACATACATACATACATACAAAAATAAAGCCATTGACACAGGAAAATACCAACTGGGGAAACATCCCACATTTTCCAAGCATATTTTCAATGCCTTCTTACTTTCTCCTGCAAAGGATGTACCAGGGTTACAGATGAAATGAGCAATGAAATTTTCTAAAATACTGGATGAAAATACTACATGAAATTCTGAAATGTGTATCAGTGATTACCCTGCTCATGTCTAATTATTTTAGTGATTTCACTGCATCTGAGTGACAAGTATTTACAAGATGCGAGTTAAATACTTCTCGGTAAATCCTGAGAGGAGTGGTCTGTTGCTAAGCCCTTATTAGAGAACGAGCATTCCAAAATATGAGCAGTGTCGTTAGGCTGATGTAAGAATGGGGTTTTGGAACTTACACTGAAGGTGCTAAAGCCAATTTCATGTTTCAAATACACTGTAGTTGTTTGTATAAACTGGTAGAATTCAATTTGGGAAAAATAACCAACCAGGCCACTCAGAGACCAGTCCTAGTGCATACAATTACCTGCTTGAAAAATTCTGACACATCCATGTTCACAATAAAAGCACAAACAGATTTTCCAGCCCCAACACAAGAGATTTTCAGAAGCTCACCGGTTTAGGCAAAAGGAGCTGCTCAGTTAAAATGTTGGTTATCTTGCACGGGGTGCTCAAGTTGAAAGTGTAGACACCACATGTTTTATTTCTCTTCCTAACTTCATTCATTTATTTCCTTGAAAATTATGAGTTTTGAAACACTTCCTTTGGTTCTAAATTTTCAAACTGCATCTTCTAACATGCTACTTGTTTAACATGCTACATGTGTGTGTGTTTAATCCAAGCACATGGGAAATAGGTAAAATCGCAGGAGGAGCTGAGGTACAGAGGGCTGTTGTCAGGCTCCTGGGAAACCCTAACTCTGTGACTTACCAGTTAGGTCACGGTGGGCAGATCACTCTGCTTCTCCATGCCTTAGTTTTATCACTTACAAGAACATAAGAACAATATCAGTGGTTAAGTGACTCACTGGTTAAGTGGCGTGAGAATTAAATGAGTCCATCTCTATAAAACACTGGCTACGATGCCTGGCAAGAAGTTATTCTCCAATAAACAAGAGCTTATTTAATGCCTTGTCAAATAATTGTTTGAAAAGTAACTCCAGAGGGATCTGGCAATGCTCAGTACCTGATGAGGCACTCTTACACGGGTCCCCCGTGGTAGACCTATGTTAGAATCCTGTTCTATGTGAAGTGTCGCATCTATTGATGAAACATTTTTTTTAGGAAAAAAACATGGAAGTCATGAAATTCGTATTATCATGAATTATATAAGTCCTGAATATTTAGTAATGAGTCTATAAAATTTTTCAGAAATAAGAACAGCATACGGTTATAAGCAAAGCCCAGAAAAGACTATTTGATGCATTTTGTCTAAAATTTTCCCCACAAATCTTTCAGTCTGCAACCCACTGAAATTTTGTTTCCATCCGGACCATAATTTTTAAAAATATGGCCAGTAAGATACCCAGTAACCCCCAATGTGCTAAACAGACATTTCTGAACTCTTGATCAACTTGATCATCGTGGTCTTATTGGTCCTTTTCGGTCTCACTTTATGTCACCAAGTCAATTAAACTCAATAAACACTCATTGACCGTCAACTCTGTCGCTTACACTGGGTCTCAATAATACTAACCTCTCCTAGTTCCCCCTGCTTCCCTGATCACAGCACTCCGGCCTCCTTCATAAACACCCCTTCGACGGCTCTCCAAATAAATTTCCCATATCTGTAATCCAATATCTGCTTCTCTTTTCCCTCCAGATGACTTATCTAAGACCATGATTTATTGCAAGACCGTCTACGAAGCTGTCTCCAATACACACAGCTGCTCCGGGTCTTTCTGTTGAGCTCCTTCCCCGTATTTCCTTGCACATCCCCCTACAAGTTTCTTTTGAACCACGATCTCAACCTGGATTAATTTTCTTCCAGCTTAGCTCTTTCATCATTTCTCACTTTGTCTAATGGTAGCATATGCAACATCAACACTCAGATATAATCTGGAAGCTCTCCAAGCACCTTTCTTGTCCTCACCGTCTATCCCCAAGCCCTCAAAGGTTTGTATTGATTTCCATTCCCAAATAGTTGTTCATGTCAACCTCCAATCTTCTTCTGTCACACCATTGACCTAGTTTATAGTTTTTTCCTTGTGTTACTACCAAAAGCCTTCTAGCTGATGTTCTGCCAGGCATATGCCCTTAGCTAATGTAATGGCCATGATGCCTCAAAGTGTTTTGTTTTAAATCTTAAAGATGTGATCCCTGGAACATCCAGTTTAAAACCCTCGGTTGCATCCCCAGACTCTTTGTTGAGACTTGGTGTGTATGGGGTTGTGATGCCATAGCGAGAGCCTCCTGTCTCACCCCTTACAGTTCTCTCCCATGGACCTTCCAACGCCCTCTCCACTGTGCTTGATGCCTTGCAGCCTCACCTGAAAACCAGTACAGGGCAAGTTTTCTTCATACCTGGATCTGTACTGCCTTATCACTCATGCTTTACACAGCCATGCTTTTTAAAAACAGTTATAAACTGTAACTCACGTTCTCCAGTTCCTCACATTCTACTCACTGGTAAGTTTACCATTAAATCCGGCTGTTCTCACCAGGATCATAAATAGGCCAATTGTCATATTTAAAAGTGACCCCCATGTATCTGTGTTGCTTGACTCATCAGCATTTAGCTTTCTGCTTTTGACTGTTTTTTTGAAGTTTTCATTTCTGAAATATAAAGAGCAAAAATCATTAGCAAGCTCCCATGTGTGAAATACATACATTAATCCAAACGGCATAGGGTCCCCTCAGCAGGGACCGAGCAGGAAGGAAGAACACACTCTCGCTTTTGATAATAAATAAACTCCAGTCAACTGGGGAGATACATGTGCTTGGTATTGTCTTATTTTATTTCAATTTGCTTTTGTTTTCAATATTTTTTTCTTTTTTTTGAGGGGGTGGGGGAATATGGTGGGGGGCAATGGAGACAACTGTACTTTAACAACAACAAAAAATTATGAAATAAAAAAAGCACTTAGCTTTCTTGCTTCTTGAATATTTCAAGACCCACAGTTTTAGGGATATTTCCTCAGTTTTTTGTTTTCCTTGTGTTGATTCTTCTATGTCTTGCAGTGATATGGCTCGATCTCCTTTGTGAGTCCCACTTTGTGGGTCAATTCTTCAAATGGTTTTCTTTTCCAGGGTTCTTTCTTTGGTCATCACGTATCATTCCAAGCACATGTGTTCTCAAACATGTTTTAAGCCCGGTACACTGAGGCCCCCGATATGCACACGACATCACATTATAAAACCAAAATGGAGAAGGGAAACTATGCCTGACTCGAAAGAGCACCGCGGGTGATTGTCACATGTTGTCTTTTACTCTTTCAGGGTGACCTCACACCTGCCCGGCCCTGCACTGCCACCTATGTGCAGATGGCTCGACATTCTGACCTCCAGTTTTTACCCATTTTCTCATTTCCTACTCCATATATTTAGTTGCTTTTTGCCACCTCAACTACCTGTTATACCATTGCTTTTAACTCAAACTGTTCAAGTCGAATTCACTATTTTGTCCTCTCAAAACTGCTTCTCGTCCAGATTCTTGTGTTCATAATCATCCAAGGCAAAAACCTGGGATCATGTTATCTTCTTTCCTCTTTATTGCTCACCAAACCCAATCAGTCCTTTCTTGAGTCCTGTCCTTTCTCCTTCTCAGTCACTCTCATCGCTTTCTACTCCTTTGTCTTGTC